TTTGTTGTTCGACAACACACAACCTGTGCGGGGGGGGGGGGGGGGCAACACGCCATAGTCACGTGCCTGTCTTCTTCTTATTTACCTAATTAACTAGTTAGTTACTCCCCGTAGTTGCAATTGTTAGTTAGTAATTAGAGCTCAGCTCGGCTCGGTTTATACCGCCCAGTCGGTCAGTCCCACATTAGCTACGCGGGCTAGAAGAGACTTAACTACCCGACTTACGGCACCAGGGAGGGAGAGAGAGAGAGAGAGAGAGGGAGCACTGGCTCGCCGTTGGAGCAAAGTAACTTGAATGATGGTGGCACAGCAGCACCCAGATCCCAGGAGTTTGGCAGAGATAACTAACTGTGGGATTGTTAAAAAGAATTTAAACTAATTAATTTAGCAATGGGGCATTTTGAAATCTAAAGCAACAACTGGGCTGCATCTGTCGTACCTGAACTTAGACGCTGACCGTGAGTCTCTTCATGCAAGAAAACTCTGATCTTGAGTCATCCTGTCTAATACTTACTCCATATGACTAGTTAGCCGAGACACAGAGACGCGAATAAACCCTTCCATCTTTCGTGCCTTCAACAAAGTAAAACTACACGGAGTAGACAAAATATAATTAAACCAACTAACATTAAAATGTTTTGTTTATCTGTTCTTCTTAACGTATAACCCCGGCCCATCATTACCTAGAATATATATATATATATATATATATAGAAATATAAATTATTATTAAATTAATACAGCCAGTGTCAAATGGTTTCCAAAGTCCATGACGACAGAACAAAACACATGGGTAACATACAGAGAAGCAGGCAGTAGCAAATCATTATCAATCAAATGATTGTGAAGAGAAGTAAAACGCATCAGCAGCATCAATTAATAATGACAGACAATTTTTATTGCATTATTATCTCCTTTTCTCCTGAATGATGAATTGATGCTGATGACGCCCCACTTCAGCTCCACATATGGAAGGATGAGAAGACAGAAGGTAAAAAAAAGAAAGAAAAAAATTAAATTAAAAACAGCAGTAAACCCTCCCAGCAACGGCAGTAATGAATTAAGGGAAATATGAAAAATCATTCATCAATTACAAAAACCACAATTTGAGGCATCAGAAGTAGAGAGTAGTTGTTGTGTCAATTTGCGTTGAAGCAAAGAACACAATGGAAGAAGAGTGGGTAACAATCAATGAGGGAACGAAGAGAAAGCAGGAAGATTAAAGAGGACTATCCCACCCAACCCTGGCTGCCTGGCAGTAAGTTATGTATTTTTGACTCGATAATAATGTGGAATGAGAAGAAAGGAGTGCAGGAACGCAGAAAAGACAAGAAACAAAAAAGCAGACTCGAGTAGTTTCAAATTCGCCGGTACAATGGGAGGGACACGAAACATGCCAATAGAAGAGAGGGATATAGCCAGGACATAACGGGGGTGTTGGGGGTGGGGGGGAGATGTAAGCGCGAAGTTCGCAGGCAGAGCAACGAATGGAGTAAAAGGAAAAAACCCCTTACCAACCTTCCGCAATAAGACGGATAAAAACACCACACACCGCAGACCGGAGAAACAGATATAAACCGACTGAGTTTTTCATATCCCATTCCCATCTTCTCCACTATCCCACCCAAATAGAAGGAGAAAAACAAAATCCCTATACCTCAAAACCCCTACGGACTGAAAACCCCGACCCCTGGAAAAATAATGAAAAAGGAAAGGTGAACAAAAAAGATGCAAACATCGGTTGGCTTCATTTATGCTTGTGTCTACCCTGTTGCAGCCGTGTTCCACGATAGTGACGACTGCGGCGTCGGTTGGTAGGCTGAAGCAGCCTGCCCCGGCTGGTGGCCCGCGCTGGGGAAATACGCTTGTTGAGCTGATTGCTGGTGCTGGTGTTGCGGCGACTGTTGGGCTTGCTGTTGCTGTGCCTGCGTCTGTTGTGCCTGCTGCTGCTGTGATTGTTGCTGTTGACGGTCTCCATTATAGTACGAGCTGGCGGGGCCCATGGCGTTCGATTCTCGGCGGGCAGCGGGGTTGTAAGAAGGTTGTCCGACATTTTGCTGGTCGAGTTGTTGCGACTGGCTCGCGTCCAAGGGTCCGGGGACATTGAAGCTTCCTCTTGGGTAGACGGGGGCTGTTGTTGAACTGGGGTCGACAGGGCCTGATGTGTCCGGTGCCACACTCCGCTGTTGCAATGAGGGGTTTCGGTAGAGTGAAGCGGTACTGGGTGGTTGCTGTGGCTGTGGGGGGTTCATCGGGTTGTAGGCGGCGGGGTATGGTGCAGAGGCCCGATATGTTGGATACCCTTCTTGTTTCGCAGAAATGTCAGCGGAACCAGGAGCATTTGTTAAGTACGGGTTCGGTGGGGGATGACCTGAAAGCCCGGGCGCCCCAACAGCGTAACTGGGCATAGCTCCAGGCTGATGAGGGTGCGCGCCATATGCTGGTAGTTGGTAGTACGGCGGACCGGAGCTGGGTGCGGCATACGCTTGCGGGCCGCCCTAATGTGGAACGATAAGCATATAACGCCGTAGACGGGTCACCGTCCTCGAGTGTACCATGTTCAAAGTCATCAATGGGCGCACGGAAGCTTTGCTTTGTCGTGAGCTCTGCGCGTGGCCGTATGTACCTCAGATTCTCTTGGTGCATGGGAGTATGCAGACGATTTGACATCACATCTTCAACACTATAATACGACACCAAATGGTGCGTCACTCCTGATACCGTCACGCTCATGGTCTTCTTCACCAATCCTGAATCTTTAAAACCATATGAGTCGACCAAAGACCCCACCAACTGCCGCTCGAGCTCCGATTGTTGGCTTCTCTCGCCAAATGAGGCACCTCCTGGCGATGTCGAGGTTGGGTAAGAAGTCCCGTTGCTTTCTTGTGGTCGCGGGTATGGCTCTCCAGGTCTTCCCGATGGTGTTGGCCTCCTAGCACCTTTCTTCATAGCACGTTTCTTCTCGCCTGGAGGAAATGGTTTATCGAGTTCGCGGTATACAAGGAAGTTGCCAAGGATGCGGCTCGGACTCCAGGTGACACCGTCGGTCCATCGCTTGATGCCTGATGCATTTTCTTCATAGATGAATACGCTACCGCTTTTCACCAGTTGACTTCTCTCTCGGTCGTGGGGACGTCGTGGAACATGATGGAGGATACCAGTCAGACATGCCTCGAACAAGATCAGCGCATCTTGAGTGGTGGCGACATAGCCCGTGTATGTCGGCGCCAGCACTGCAGCCATGCCGTTGCCCATGTTGTGCGACAAGCTGCAGGAGGGTATTGGCTTCAAAAATATGGAGATGAAAAACACTATCGACCTGAAGATTCTGCGGAGGACGCGGTAAAGTTGAGTTGTAAGGGGAAAGTTTTGCGCGGCGACAGACTATCCAAGTCAGAATTTAAGCAACAACCTTGAAGGTTTTCGAAGTGACTTTCGGTATTAACCCTGTCAGCTGCGCGAAAATGCGATAGAGTTATTTGAAAACGCAAATTAGAGTATAGAGGGAAAATAAGAATAAGATATTAAGAACGAGGATATTCAATCGAACAAGCGAGGAGGGTGGGGGGAGAAGAAGGGAAAAAAAAAAAAAAAAAAAAAGAAAGAAAGAAAAGAGGATCGGGATGTGTGCGGACAGCCTGTCAAACCAGTCAAAAAGGCTTAAGTAGGACAGGGCGAACGTGGTCTTGAGCTCCTGGTTCGAGATGGAAGTATGATGATGCTGCTTCTTTGAAAAGCAGAACACCCCGCGCGAGAGCGCCAAAAAGAGTTTGAAGGTTCTATGGATCGACAACCACAGCACGGTTCAAACTTTTTTTTTTTTCCTCTGAAATGGAGGGCTCGATCTTGCGCAAGTAGAGTTTACTGCCCCAGAGCTAATTATCGGATGGTGCCGGGCTTAAAGCAGCAGATAGCGCGATCAGGAACGTCAAGGGGCGGGCCAATTCGGCGGGCGAAATCAATGGGACATTCAAAGCTGACCGGGTGGGCCAAGCAAAACCAAGCAGCGACAAAAATGGAGCGAGAGATGGGTTTTTGGGTCTGGCCCAGTTTTCCAAGCTTGATTGGGTTTTTTGCCACGCTCCTCTCCTCTTGCAGGAAAGCTCCAGAAGTCAAAGTCTGGGAACGGTAGGAAGGTAATTATTAAGTTCTTTTCTTCCGTTTCTCCTTGTAGAGTCTGATGGGAACCTGTACAAGCACGAGATTTGTTAGAACAGGGCCCCGCTATCAACAAGGAATAAAATCAGGCTCAAGGTTGAGATCAGAGAATACAATTATGAAGAAACAAGGATTGTGAGAATGAGGTCCAGAGTAAAAAAAAAACAAGGTTTCGATGACAAGTTGAAATATGTCAACTTTTTTGACAGTCCTGAGTAAAAAGTAAAGGAATTAAGGAAAATGAAAACAACGGATAATAATAATCAGATAATAATCAAAGTAAAATATTGCAAAGCTTGCTTTTTATTTTTCCCCCCTTGTTTTCTTTTCAATGGCAATTGCTTTTGATTTATGCTGGCCTTTCTTTCCTGGAGTATTTTTTATATTTTTTTTTATTTATTTATTTATTTTTTTTTTTTTTTCCAGCAGGGTTGATATATATAAGTTCGTCCTTTTTGCTGTGACTCTCTCTTCCCCCGTGAACGGTGTGCATTCGGGGGCTGTCCTTTAATTTTTGCCCTCTCTTCTTTCTTCTCTCTTCTCCTCTTCTCCCCTCCCTCCCAATCAACCGCTGAACTACAGCTGCAGGCTAGCAGAGCGCATGGGTTGTTACTTTTTCTTCCTCTGCCAGGACAAGCCAAAATGGCGGGAAAGCACGGCACGCCGTGTGGGCCAGCCAGAGGTAAGGACGAGCCCCCCCAAGGTAAGGATCAATAGGGAGGGCGAAGACAACCAGCACTAGTAAATACAAGGGCCAAACTGGCGACAGCGCGTCATCAACAACTTAATCAGCAAATCGAAGTGACTAAGAGTGCGCAGCAGCAATCACCTGAGCAGCAACAGTGCCGGCGTAGTTTGGTTGATAGAGAGTTGGATGCAGTTCTATCCAGGTTGGATGGGGGAGGTCTCGCATGGTTTGGACGGACGGAGGGGGGGAGGGGGGATGCACCGACCCGAAGGAAGGGCGGGTGCGTGGTTGTTTCGGCGCCGGAGTGCGTGGGCGTATGCGGGCTTGCAAGCCACCGGTCCCACCAATCCCACCAAGGTCCCACTGGTCCCACAACAAGTCCTGCAGAATGGGTGCTGAGGTGGAGCAGGAGAAGACCTCAGTGCGTCAATGCAGGGAACAGCGGGGGATTGGAGGGCTGGCGGGCCGTGGCAATAAGGCCAAAGGTGCTTGGGCCGAAGTATCCATCAGGGAGGGGAGGGGCAAGCGCAACCCAGAACGGAACAGCGGAGGATCCAATTGGGTTTTGGGGGGGGGGTTGAAGAGCGTGCCACGCTTAGCCTAGAGAGGAAACATAGGGCTAACTGGGGCTTTGGAAGAGTAAGGGTTTAAAGCTTGGCGGGGGCCCCCCCCTCCTCCCTCCTCCCCCCTCTCCCCGAGCAAAAGTGCAAGGAAGCAAAATGCTCCACTCCGTACATGACTTGGCTGAAGGGACCAACGGGACCAACGGGACCGACGGGGCCGACGGGGCCAACGGGACCAAAAGGGAAGCGGAAGAAGGGGACCTCGGGAGGAGATGGATGGTTGTGATGAGCAATAGCTTGCTTAGTACTAGAGGAATGGAGTCTGGAGAAGGCAGCAAGCAGTTATGGACGGTGCTTCTTCAGCGGAGAGGTGCTGGAGCCATAGCAGCGGCAAGTAGCAGCTGTAGCAGCAACAGAGCACCCCGTCAGACCCAAGATGGCCCATATTGGCCCATTGGCCATGGGTCATCCCCACCCAATCCCACAAGGGTCGTGGTGGAATCTCGGCAACATCAGGACGAAAGGACATGGCGGGCATGGGCTGTGCAAGATGAAACCCCTAGGCGAATCATGGCAGGCCTCTCTCCCTACGTTCGTTCGATGGCGTGTGCCATACGGACAACCCCTCACCCCCAAGGCTAAAAAAAAAAAAAAAAAAAAAAAAAAATCCCATCATATCAACCCACCTACATTGACACGCACGCACACATGTCAAGCAAGGAAAAAAAACCCTTCGTTTTGGGATGTGTGGTTCCCGTCAAGCAAGAAAAATATGTCCAAAGCAGTAAAAACTATACGTGGGTTCCGTTCTTCTTCTCTTTTTTTTAACCCCTCCTTTTTTGTTCCTTTTTTGGGTTTTTCCGGGGTGGTAGGGTAAGGTATATAACGCAGGAACGAGGTTGTGTAACAGAGTGACAAGGGCTCTTCTTCAAGATAGAAGTAAAATAAGAACATAATAAAAAGGCCGAAAAAGAAGGAAAGGAACAGGAAAGAAAAGAAAATTGAAGCATACCCGTCATCATGATTCAACACTTGGTGCAAGGGCTTGAAACTCTCAGACACAAGGAAGTGGAGACTTACTCGAAAGAACAAGGTTACCAGCCGATCCTCCAGAGCAAAAGGAAGGGCCCCGGGTAAAATAAAAACAGAGTAATTACCTACACTGGCAGCAGGGTCGAAAATGGTGAAAGTTTTCGTTCGAAGATGCAAGTCGTAGGGGTAAAGAACCGAAGCAGTTCACGCTTAATATGTAATGTAAAAGGGGGGTTTTAGTTTTCTGGTGTGGAGGGGTGACTGCCGAAGTTAACTTTGTTGTCACTGACAGATGGGAGACCGGCGAGTCTAAAAAAAAAATAAAAATAAAAATAAAAAAAATAAAAAAAATAAATAAAAAAAAACTAGGTTGGCTCCGGGATCTGGATTGGTGTGACGTTTCTGCTCGAGACGGGCCTATATCAGCAATTAATATGTAGGAAAACACGATGTCCACGTGGGGGAAGAGAATTTTAGGATGTTTACGAGTCAACACGGAGAGATCAGGGGGGAGGAAGGTTTGGCAAAAAAAAAAAAAAAAAAAGAAAAAAAAAAGAAAAGAAAAGAAAAGAAAGAAAGACAGATAGTATCCTGTTGGAAAGACTTTGTAGGAAAATTGGGTAGCTTCAGTTCCGACGTACTGGAGCGGGCAGGATTATAGGCGTAAATATTACTCTTGCGCCCAAAAGGAGATTGGGAAGATTAATGTCAAGCTAGGACTCTAGTTACCTAAAAAGCGAACAAGTCAAGGGGCTCAGAAAATCACCATAGCGTAGTCTTATTTTTGCTGGTCGAAATGATATGTGTCCAGCTTTCCAAGCTTCTGCAGCAGGAAGAGAAGGGGGGGGGTTGGTAAGAAGGTTGAAAATAAATAAGAATAAAAGTAAGAAATAATAGTCTTCTTTGGAAAAGATATGTTGGTGGATGATGGTGGGCTTGAGGCTTGTTTAACAACTGTAAAGTAAAAGAAACAAAAAAGTGTGAAAAATCATACAAATATATTGGTGCAATGGATATATATAACCAGACGCCTCCTGCACCTTATCAGTTTAGCTCACACCTGCTGACGGAAATGACCTTCTTGAGCTCCTATGGGAGGTTTATGCCTTGTTTCTCTCGCTATTCGCTGGGGCGTGGATTTTATAAGAGGCTCTTTATTCCCCTGGGCGTTTCCCCTTTCTCTTCTAATACTGGCGGTCTAAAAGCCTGCAATATCATTCATAAGTAGAGAGACCTCCTTGGGAGCCGGGGGTGCAACACGGAAAGAAACATCCATTACATAGTAAACAAAAATAGGGTTGAAAAAGCAAAATAAAATACCGTACCTTTCCTGTTGCGAATTGAACAATTAATTAGCATCTTCAGGATGGGTATTTGTGACAGCCAATAGGCGGCACGAATTGATCCCGTATGGTATGATTATTGATTCCTTAAGACGATGACGATGAAGCGTCCCGACGAAAGGGAAAAGCCAAGCTTAATCGCCTCAACCCCCTTTCAAACAGCAGGGAGTCTAAAAAAGAAAAGAAAGATAGAAGGAAAAAGAATCAGTCAACCGCACGCGAGTAAGAAAGTTTATCGTCGATGTAGCAGAAGAACGATGGAAAGTTAAAAGCCTTTCAAAACACGCAAAGTAAAGAATAATATTGGGGCTTGTTTGAGCTTTTTTCTTTTCTTTTCTTTCTCGCTCATAGAGATTCCCCTGTTTTCAGAGAGTCTTACACAAGAAAACGGTTTGGCAGCCCTTGAAACCAGGAAACGGAACTGTTGTAAAACTCAATTGTGATAGCTCGTCAACTAGAGCCAGGGAGACGACCAGTCAACGCGGGGCCGCGGGCATGATCTGGATCCAGACTTCCCAGGGGGGGAGCGATCGCTGCGAACGAAAAAGCCAAAATTTTAAAATAACAAAAAAGAAGACGGCGTAAACTTTGTGGTGAACAAGCAGCAGTTTTTAAAAGTATATTTCCTTTGCATGCTTGCTGATCCACTTCATCGGGGTACTTTTGGCCCCAGGGTCACGGTCGATCACTATCAAAAGTATAGGTCAGAAAAGGAGTCTAATAACGAACAGAGGATTAAGAGCTAGGAGATAAATATCTACGTTAAGAAGCCTATCGTTGATAGAGAGCAGTGGTTCGGGGGAAGAAACTTAATAACGAGGGCGGAACTGGCTATGGTTAATTGTTGTTGTTGTTGTTGTTGTTGTTGTTGTTGTTGTTGTTGTTGTTGTTGTTGTTGTTGGAGGACCACCCCGTGTGGCGGTAGCAGACGACGACACGGAGGTTCCCGACCCGGAAGACAGAGCATCGGAATAGGATAAAATTTCCACTTTATTATTCTCCATGAGTGACTCTGCATATTGGTATGGTGGACGTCTGTATGTGACTATGGGCAGGGGAAATGTGTTCCCCCCCCCCCCCCCCCCCCCCCCGTCTATCACTCGTTGTGATTTGATTTATTTTGTTTTCTATATTTGTTTCTCGTTTTTTATGTGGATGGGATGTAGTTTACCCGGCGTATTCGTGTTACGTTATGTGATAGCTATTGTTTTCTGGATGAGAGTGTTGTCTGGATGTGCATGTATACTCCTTATCAACATCCTACATACATTTTTTCTCTGTGCGGTCTTCCTTTGTTCTACTGCAAATTACGTGATATGGGTTCCCCCCCCTTACTCCTCGCTTCGGAACGGTACCTCCTTTGATCCCTCTGCACATCAGAGATATCATCCCAATCATACATATTATCATCGATGAGAGGGCAAAGAAAGCCGAAGAAAACATACGAAAATTGTTTGGGACGGATAATAAAGTAAACTGATATATTACACCTCCTCGCTAATCCGTTTGCTAACCTTTGGCAGGAAAAAAAAAAAAATCGAAATCCTTCAGCTACAAACTACGCACAATCAGCAAGGAGAAGAACTAGGGATCTTCGGTCAACCAACAGAAGAAGAGACAAGATGGAGAGTCCCAGGGTTTAGGCGATTCAACCATACTCGACTCGGATGAGCCAAGAGATCGGGAAGAAGAAACTTCAAGAATGGAATGAAAGGCTCCTATGGAAGTATTAACACATGAAAAGAGCTGATCTAGATGGATTGGCTTCAGCCAACTTTGTTGAATAATTCTTAGCGGGAGTTGGGTGCAGGCAAAACACCGCAAAAGAGACGAGACAGCAGTTGACTTGCGGCATTTTACAAATGGTTCCTGGGCTAGCTAAAAGTTTTCTAGAAATTCACTCATGCTAACCAGGACAAATTGAGTACATTACTTCTGGATGAAATGGTGATGTCATTACAGAGCTCTTCGTACTTCCTATATATGTCCGCATAAATAGCTCTAATTGGTCGTGTGCATCCCCCATCAAATCCTCCACCCTATAATTAAACATGTGGACGATGATGCTCCGATGACCTTGCTGTTGACAGGTCCACCCACCCATCCGATCCACTTACCCATGCGCACTCTCCAACAATGAAACACTCGGAAAAATGGATGAAAGAAAAATGGATGAATGAAAGCAAGAGGGGCCGGTGACAAGAAAGCGAAAGCGAAAATGAAAAACGAAGCCTGAAATCAACGGAGGTTTGGGTTGGGACCGGAGTCACTGAGCCCGTTTTGTACATCACCCATCCAGCCAGCCCATGCCAGAGGGTCAGCTCAATGCAGTCCTCTGCCCCTTCGTCAGAATCGTCATTGGGCAGTTCTTCCATCCAAGAGATCCAGTGGCTTTTGGTCCATGCAGCACGGCGCACAGATGATCATGCTGGCAGGCAGGCAGGCAGGCAGGCAGGGAGGGAATAATAACCAAAACAGCCCCAACGGTGAATGCATTGTGATTCGATTGAGATAACTACCCAAGTTGCTATGGCCTTTTTCCATGCATACGGTCCATAATTTACGCCTTCATGCATGGACCATTGAATCCATATCGACCCAGAACCTGGCTTGGAAACGCTGAATAATAAACTGTGATATCCTCGAATATGCCCCAATATACGTGAGTACCTAGGTACGGCACTCATACATGTGAATGAATTGTCCAGACATGACGAACGACCCACCCGATTGAAAAGAAATAGATACGTCAGGAAGGTTCATCCTCATTCCATCGCACTCCGTCGCTCCAACTTGCTGGAAAAGCTAAGAATTTTTTTTTTAGATTTAAATGTTCAAGATATTGAAATGAATATTAGTTTCGCTACATTACCAAACAACGGAAGGAAATTCTTTTTATTTACGGGAATGCCCATGATTATATTGGTTAATCGGTTTGACTAATGGCCCCATCGGTTCTTATCCCGCATCTACTATTGGTCCGGGACTTCACTATTCTTCAGACTCTTGAAATTCGGGATGGGTATCATTTTCTCACCCTTCAGCAAGCATATAAGTCTAATTGTTTTAAAGCTTCTTTCCCTTCCCAGTTCAAGCCGTTCACTTTCATACTGTGTACGGAGTGGCTGGGAAAGGTCCCGATCTGTTGGGATTGGGCGCCTCGTGGATGAAGCAGGTGAGAAAGGAAAAATAGTTCAAGCTCATTTGAAAGCCCGCCGTCTCTGGCTAATTCGCAGATTAGCTTTGGAGTGGGATAACTATTCTACGGTATCCTAGTCATGTGCATGGATACGCCTGGGAATCTAAAATGATACACCACCAACTATTCAAATATCCGTCCGCGTAAATGTACTGATCATACATGTTTGTATCTAAGTAGCATCCTGCTCTGCGCAGAAGGAGGTTACCCCATGGGTCTCAGGGGTATTTTGGCCAGATCTCTAGGCAGACAAGTGCTGTTCTATATCCGACATTAACAAAAAGAAAGGAGGGTCGAATGGAGAATTACTGCACGGTGAAGGAATGAACAGTACCGGCCTGGATAGTTATACATATATCCTTTCCCCCTCTTCAATTTTTCAATTTTTTCATTTTTTAATATTTTAATTTTTTTTTTTTTTTTTGATCTATTCGCCATGGACCAAAGCGCCGTGTAACGTGTGGAGCTGAATACTCCATGAATAGATCTTTAGCTATAAACATGGGGAGTTTGATGATGCTCCTCCGTAGTTAGTTACAGCTCTCGAGCTCACCCCACATTGTTCCCGTTCTGTTGAAGTTTTAAGGTTAACTCTGCGGGAGTATACGGAGAATGTGTCCCATACTTACTTATATTACTTCAGCCGTTGAACTGCAGGTCGAAAGCTAATAATTGATGTAAAAACAACCTAATCAAATGATCTAAGACTCTTTCTTCATATTTTAAGTCTTACTCTAACTATGTAGTACGCTTACTTTTACTCTTATTCTTAATTTCCCTTACTTTGCTGATACACTTTCCGCCCCTGCAAGACCCTAAATGAATGACAGGGAGCCCGCCCAGATAATTCAATCAACTATGGACTGGGTACAGTGCCTACATAGTCAGTGTGGTGATACATCGTCCGCCAAAAACGCCACGATAAGATCATCAGGGAAAAAAAGAAAACCGCTCTAGCGGAGCAATCGTACCGAACCAGTGCCGTTGACGATTACACATATCCAATTAGCTGAATAATATCTACCTATTACCCTACCGAGGACCTTTTCTTCACGGGCTCAATAGAATTTTCAAGCCCCTCGCAATATTAAGGTATTATTGGGAGAAACAGGGGTCCTCATTGTTTGTTGGTAACTAGCTACATAGGGTACCTATATCCGTCCTTAGATACCTCCCCTTTTTCTTCCCCCCCAGACACTAATCTCGGGGTAAAAATTTCCCACGTAAATTTCACCTGGGCCGTCAGATGCCGCTGAATATCACTCTCCAACCCTGGTATTTCCCAACAGCTCCTCTTCTAACCCGGAAGCCGACTGGAAAGGACATAACCAATGAAAGCACCACCCACGGAACCGTATCCATGGAACATATGGATGACGTAGAGTCGCCTAACATGCTGGGCTATCTATCCATGTTTCCTATCATGCTCTGCTCGCCACCGGGGGCGTCTTTCTTTGGGTGGAGCATGAAGCCAGTGCTGCTTTAAAACAGTGCTCCCATATCTTTCCTTGTCTGATGACCTTGATAAGGATAATTCCGTATGCTGTCCAAATAGCGGTACGGTATGTAAGCGCCATCAAATATCATCGAAGATACTGGTCACCTACCAATAGAAAAGCGCTTTTTTTTTTTCAATCGCCAGAAACGGGCCTGGCAAACATCGGTACAATCCCACTTGATCAAATTCAGTATCGATCAGCTTGTCATTATCCCCAGGATTTCTGATTCTCCCTGATACCCATCGCTTTCCAGCCACAAACCTGTCCCAGAAACAAGAACTGACGGAGCTAGCAATGTCAGAAGATGCAGGAACAGAAAGGTATCGAAACCTTAAGAGTTCCAAGGAATCCTTCCCAACTGAAACTACTAGTTAATAGCTGAGAGGTGCTCCGATGACGAACTTGAGTCTAGCGTTCCTCTTATTAATTAATAATGGACATTTGGTCTGGCAATTGCGCACACCATTAGGGATACTGTTAAATAAATGCCACGGAATTCGAGTTATAAATGCACCGTCTCGTGATTCAAGCTGTTGGCCGCTGGCGTAAACGGTATGCAGCTAAGGAGGCAATGCTCCAAGGGTTAGTGATGAGCGGACCCAGAGGCCTGAGGCCCCCCCCCCCCCCCCCAAGAGACACGTTGACTGATTCCTCATAGGTGCTGCTCAGGCTCATTAGCAAAGTAAAATGCTCAAATTCTATCCGCTGTTGAAGAACACCCCTTGGACTCTCAATTCCTCATGCACTGGGATTGCAAAGCGGTGCATAGATCCCCCATTCCATGAAATCATATCTACCAAAGTCAACCGCATAAATCTCGCATACACACCTGACTGCTTGGGTTCATCCCAATCGCCCAAATCTATTTGACCAAATTTGGCCATTCTCACTCATCATATCCCCAAAGATCACCAGTAATAATAGCGGGAACAAGGCTGGCGAGGAGACGTTAGTGGAGACGCTCGCTTTAAATTTTTCATATTCCTTTTTCCTGAGCCCGATATGTCGGTCGATCTATCCAGATCGCGTATTTTGCACAGGCGTCTCTTATGCACCGCAGTGGGTTCTTGTCATTTTTATTTTTATTTTTATTTTTTCCACGCCATGGCGCGCCGGCCAGTTTCGCTAGTTTGGCTCCGCCGATGCTGACTGAGCCTAGCGTCTCCGTCGAGTCGTCCTCGACGTCCGTGTGTACGGGCTGGCGCCCACTTGGTCTGTGACAAGCGGTTCAGTGATAAGAACTAAAGTCGAGTTAGCTTCGTGTCTCTCTCATCGAAAGCAAGCGCACTACAGAATACCTACATAGCGTCAGGGAGAACCAAACCTGGAGAAGAAAGGCCAAATCCATTTGCTATGCATGACTTCCTGCAGCATGCAGGGAAGAGAAGGTTGATGCGCTTTTTAACCTAATTGAATGCAGCAGGAGGCCCGGTTCTCATCATCTGCACCTTCAACCGTCGAGTCGACGCTGCACCTCTCTACCAACCCGTCCTCACCGTGTTGCAGCTTTTCCTGAACAGGCGTCAGTGGCCGCGTGAACTCATAAGTCATGGATACTTCTTAAGTTGCAGACTGCAATGGTACAGTTAGCGTGCATCAACTGTGACAAAAGGGCATGGTTTTGTGGCTTCTGTGGGAAGAGAGGGGACGTGACGAGCACCAATCAATTCAGCATTCGTTGTGAAACTGCTGGCCACTGCAAATGCTGATTGAGAGCCCTGGACTCTGGGGGCAAGGACAAGTATGCGGAGCTACCCTCTTCCTCTTTTCTTCAGCTCAGCTGGCTTGTCCGTTGGGTTTTTGGAGCTCTGTTAAACAAGCCGCCTCAGAAGCGCGCTGTTTTCGTCAGTTAACGGACTAATCATATCATACCACCCATATATCGATAAAATTATCTAAAATTGCTTTCCTTTTGCTTAAATCTGTTTTCTAATCCTACCAGCTGCAGCAGCTGATTCCGATGATAGAGCCTGCTTGAAGCTATTGCTTACTGATCAACCAAGTTTGGTCCTCAGGTGCTAGAATCATTGCAACGATGGTCCCCATCATGCTTTTCTCCAAACCCCTATCCATGCAACCTAACGGCGTTCTCGGCTGATCTTCAACATCAATGCCAATGCCGATTATGATAACCATGCCGATACCAATATCCTTTTATAGCTGATCGAGTCCGGAAGAGCTTTCCAAGTTGTCCCTCTCTGCTTCATCTACAGGGATTCCTACCTCTGTTCTCCAGAACCATTTACTCACTGTCCGCCTCCACCGATATGCATGCATGCACGGACATGAATATACAATAGTTCATTGCTTTCACACAATACCATACTTGAAGCCCACTCTCTGAAAACCATAAGGGTATTCTACCTTTGTGTATCCTGTTCCATCCCTAATCCATATCAGTAACAATGGGATTGTTTCCAGTTTCATAGCCGTGAGGCTGATCAGCAGAACAGGAAAATGGAAGAACAGCCGCATATTGACATCCGCTTAATAGGATTGAGGGGAGAGCTGAGGATATTCTTTTAGTCTAAATATACCCGAGACGTTGTGGGGGCGGATTGTCGAACATTAAACAGATACTCGACTCGATACACTGTGCATGGCTTGCAGGTCTACCCTTAGCAGACGACAGGCAGGATCTTATATGCACTGCTTGCTTGACGCGGACCGTGCAACGGACAGTCGCTCTTCTTTAAGAAATGGAGGCAGAATTCTTGGAAGATATAAAGCTTTTAACTATCTTGCGCGCCTGAAAAAAATTCGGATTGAATAGTTGAAATCATATCGAGCTTTGTTGACCATGTTTGCCATTTTGCCCTCACCACTTGGATTGTCGTTATGAGTTTGACTCCTGAGATCTATACCAGGACCGTTCTTTTACTAATCTTGATGTTCGGAAACAGCCTGGTATAGTGTGTTATCTCAAAGGAGTAGTACGTTCTTAATTTACTCCAGCGTTAAAATCTATTTATATGGTTTGTCCGGCGTAACTAATAATGCTCATGACTGGTCAATGCCCGTTTCAAGCTGATGCGGCATCCACGTCTCTATCAGGTTTCAAATGAATCATCTAGGGGTTGGGGGGGGGGGGGGGAATAGTAACCCAAACGGCACGTTAGTGGTAGTCAAAGAAAGGAAATGGCCAGATTGGCTTTGGGGAATTGGACGGGAGCGTACATCAAACAATATTCCTGAACTCTCACATGGATAACCCCTCTTCACCCCGCCTTGGCCATTGCTTCATGTTAAAATAAGTTAAGTAGGTTTGATTGGCTGCTGTTGACAGAAGATCAATCGCCCAGTAGTGCTTATGGAAAGATGGGGAGAAAAAAATCTATTGTTTATATGTACATAATATATTACTTCGTTGTCTTATTTGCCTCTTACTTTTTATATATAGAGCTGATAGTCGTCGCCACGCAAGATTGAGAGATGCAGCATCTGCCCGCCTATCAAATCCTTTGGTTGATTCACCGTGTTTGATCCAGCAGATCTGAACCACGTATGTAATGTGCTTGCAGTACTTTCTCGGCTCTTACCGGCCTCAACTTTTGCAGATAGGGCCCGTTAGTTCTCTTAAAGGCTCGTAGACTAGGAAGACATCACATGCGCCGCTCCAAACACCATCCATGTGTTTGTTATTCACCCTCGTGTTCAGACGTTTTGATGTCCCTAGAGCCCAGCAATCGTCAATATTAATTCTGTTCTGATGTGGTCTACCGGAATTCATTCATGTTAGTTACTGCATCGTGTACGATGAAAGAACGTAAACCAACTTCCATATCTGGATAGCGGAAACAGTTGTCTTGCCCTAGAAGTTAGGCAGTGCATTAAACGCTGGGTGGGATTTATGTACAGAACTCCGTACATGAGCATATGCCAGGCATAGGTTGTCTTCTTCTCGCTAATCCGCCTGACAAATCCTCCCATTAACTACCCAAATAGGTATTCCGTTTCTCATCGTTTGCTCGGGACTATGGGTACAGTATTTAGGCTCTCTTTCTGGGTGCGCTGCGACATAGTTGGCTCTTTGTTGCATTGTATGTGTCTATATCCATGCAGTTCTTTCAAAAGATTGGCAGCAGGCAGCCTCATTATGTGATATCCCGTCTCGGGCTGAATATATAAGTATGGATACCTAGATTATTTGGGGGGGACCGTCTTCGTTTCGTGCACAAGTATTTCGTCTGGTCAGCTTATCCCCCGCCAGTGATGAAGTAAAACCGCAAGGCTGGGTAGTTAATCGGGACTAATAACCATGCTAATGAACACCAACTGTTCCAGAGGACTTTTTTGATGTCTCCCTCCTCTTCCTCCCGTCTTTTCGTGACTGAACCCTGCAGCTCGACAGCTGGCCAGTAGAACAAACAAGCAGGAATTCAATGACCTACCTCACTTGCATCGACAGGGGACTCCAGAATCTAGACCATGATTCCATCCACGGTCACATCGGCGGTCTGTACGAAGCGGCCTCCGCCACCCCTGCACCAGGGAGAAATCCTTGTGGCAATACAACCAATCAGCCTCCCTTCATCAAAACTGTCTGTGCCATGCTCGCTTATTTTTTCAAAAGCCCAACGCTTGATCGAATCATAGCTCCGAAAAAGATGAAGACACCAATAACTTATCGCAGTAGTTGAAGTGCTAACATCCGGTTTTTCGATTCGACACCTAATCGTCAATGTAGAGGTATGGGGGATGGACTTTGTTTGTCTCTCTTTGCTGTCATGGACTAACTATCCATTTCACCCCAACTCATCATAGCTAGTGTATGTGAGTATGTGCAGGACATATTGGGAAACAAAATGCGTGGAGAAGCTACTTTGTATCTGCCTATCAACGCTGCTAGATTGCAAACCTCAACGGCCAACAACATTGAGATCACTTTTGCAGTCTGCTTGCATGGAATCTGGTTAAGGCTGTCAATGTTTTTATCCGATTCGACAAACGGCTGAAGAGGTGGGGGCGGATGAAACAATGCGTAGAGAAACGCTGTAAAGCCACCTGTGTCACGAGTTTTTGTTAGGGCATATTCTGGCGGACTGGCAAAATATCCGCTTTCAGCGTTTCAGATGGTTTTTCATGTGACGCATCTTTATGAGCTCTTATTGTTTCAACCTTTAATCACTGCGCGTGAGATTCGGCCTGAGATTCGTGCGGAAATGGACCCCCTTTGGGTTTTTTTTTTTTTTTTTTTTGACGACTTGACTACGGGACGTATGTCCAGATGTTTGCTTCCTCTTACTGCCCTATCTGCCCTAGGTCACTGTCCTGGCAGGATACAGTGCCATGCGCAGCCTGGACAGAGATCTCTCTTCAATTGGACGCCCTTTCGGGATTCTTGATGTCTCCCAGGCTAGGTGATGGCAAATATCAGCTGGCGTGAGATGTGTTTGTTTTCGCTTGCCCTCATCTTCGCCGTAGAGACCCGACTGTCAAGCGAGAAATTGATATCAGAATTCATTGCATGATTCTGACCACTACGAACAACCTTAGTATAGCTGTCAGGTATGTCGTGCTGTCTCGTACCTGCATGTTGCTTTGAACTCTGTGGTCTAATTAGCCGCTTCAGAATCAATTGATTTCTTCAAAATTGACTATTCAGCTTTATCAAATCCCCCCTGTGAGATATTTTCCGATGTTAGACAGGGGTCTTTTTCGGTTTGTTTATATGTATTTCGTTTGATATTTGCGGAATGATGGTTCCTATGACATGTCAGATATCCATGGGCTCCTCGATCCTGAGAGATTCCGTGACGACCCGAGACCTAGTGGGAAAACAAAACAGGGAACAAACACTCTCATGATCCTCTTCCTCTGCTCTGAGAAGGTTAGCGGGGATTGCCATCAAGGAATTCGGCCATTCTTAGAATTACCCGGGCTTTGAAATAGCGTATGGGAGAATGAGGATGATTTTGAAACAAATGCATACTCTTGAAGCGAATGTATGGCGGATCTTTCCGGGTTTGTCCGCGAAACAGCAAGAGTCTCTTTCTATATACCAAATGCAAACCAACAAAGGCCAGAAAAAGCAAGGCAGAGAAGGTGAATTGTTGTAGCTTAGGTGGGGTCCTGGGAAACTCTGAGGGGCAAATTTTAAATACAAAGGTTTTCATCCCAGCAGTCTGCCTCCTTCCTGGTGCCATTCTCCCTTCGATTGAGGAGCTGGTTTGTGTAATCGTCGTGTACTGGGCGCAATACAAGGTTTGATACCCTTCCTTACCTTCAGTGTAGGCTCGGGTAATTACTTGTTGAAGCCTAATTCCATCTTTCCAGTTTCCGTGAACCCCATGATCCCGCCCACATCCCAGCTACCCAAGGAATTCAGGGCCAAGTCAAAAGTTTCTGATCCAAAAGTCAAATCTGTCGTCTGCATTTTTAGTCGTCGATCCTCGCATCCCCGGAATAAAGAGAATAGATAATAAGGAAGCGAAAAAGCACAAATGAGTTTCTGAACTTTACCTTTCGTGGGAAATTCTTATGTTTGTCATAGAATAATGGTGCAGGTAACACCAATGTGTAGGCAACTTCCCAGCATTTGTGTATATCATCTCAGTAAATCCAAACACCCCCCCCCCTCCCTCCAATGTTGCGCGTTCCGGAGAAAGGCTGTCATCCTCGTGTTTGGTGGCTTTTGCCTTTTAAACTTTCGTTCCCTTTCATGTGCGTCAGCTTGTTAGGGTTTATTAGAGCAAGATGATAATAGGTGAAAAGCAAGGAGGAGAGAGAGGGAGTGGGGAAAACAAAAGGTTTGGGAGAACCAGAGCTGCAAACTCCGAATCTCCCATTCTAGGCATTTTGGACAAGTAAATGCCCATCCTTTTATTTCGCTTTGGAGTTACATTGCCTCAGTATCTGCCTGGCAGTGATGGCTATGAGGGAATTCGCATGAATAGGAGGGAAGGTCTTAAAGCATGGTTTTGCCTGTTTCACTCCCAAGAAAGTTGTACAGGTCACTATGAATGAGTCTGTGAACGCTTGTTTCAGCAGAGGCTGAGACGCGTGTATCATCATGGGAGAACGAGAAATAGTGGGGGATTATTTCTTGAAACGGCAATTTCCCGTGTTGCTCCCGTGTTGCTCCTGTATGATCGAATCTTAGGTTGGTAGGATTTATATATCTATGAGGTATAGGTCGCAGAGCATGGATACAGACCCGAGGACGAAATGAACAACTTGTGGTAGAGACCACCCTGTTCTTTGTTAAGCTGTTCGAATCGTTTTCATTTCCATACCGCAGCTGACTCTTAGTTTTGATTTCAGGGGTGCTTGATTGGTGTTCTGATAACCCTTCTGTCGGGTGTAAACACTCGGGGAGTTCATAATTGCATAGACGGATAAATCGATAGACAAGCAGAAATTGAGTAGGGAGACGTTTTTAAAACGTGCAAACGAGCATGCCCATACGGAAGATGCTGCAGAAAACAAGAAAAAGAAGAGAGGAAAAGAGGTGAGCTTTCATCAAAACCATCATAAGTAAATTTCATCAGGGATGGATGAGTAGGGTGATAATGGTGGGTCAAATGAAATGATACGCCTCCAGCACTGACTCGCTTTAACTCCTTGAGCAAAGAAGTTCTAAGACTTTCACACACAAGTATCATGAAAAACATAGAACCAAAACTAGCAGTGAGGCATCAAAACCAAAATTAAGTAATGACATGAGATGTGTTGCCGACATGTTCAAGCATCAGATCTATATGGAATGGGATATACCATGCTATGCAATCGCTCAAATTTTCAACCATGTCTAATTTGTGAAGGCCTGCACACTGCCCCTGAGAAGTTGAACGGATGGCAGAAACTCAAACATATAATTTGTCACGCGAAGTCCTACTATCCTTAACTAACGATATATGACCGGGAATTGCCATCGGTCTCGAGTCACCGATAAGTCCTGGTATGTCCATCAACGGGCCACACTTTTCATAATCCTCCGTACTATAATATTCGGAATGGCCCTTCACCTCGTCCGCATAGTCCGCTCCAAAACGGAAGAGACTAAACCCATCAAGCGTATCAGACCATCTCGGCGTGAGAGAGAACATGAGAGTGAGAATGACGGATACCAAAGTCCATGGAATGAGAAAATATAAAGGCAGCCAGATATGCTTCAACGGGCCTTGAGTGAGGATTTTCCCCGGTGTTGCGGCTGTGAGATTCTCATGCGTAAAGAAGCTGCGGGAGTTGAATTTGGTGTTCGACATCCCTGAGGAGCCATTGGAGAATTTGATGTATTGGGCTAAGTCGTCGTATTTCGCAGCTCCATCGTACATCAACTCTAGGGCATATGCGGCATGGCATTGGAGAAGAGAATTCCTAAGTTGCTTCGATTGGATATAACCAGGGACAACAAAGCTGTAATGTGTGTCGATATACGGGCGACCGTCCACCGACGAAATGATATTCTGAAGACCAACATTCCCACGAGAGGGATTATCTCCTTCCGTGTTAAGCACGAGTTCGGCCGCTCCAGCACCAAAAGGTTTTACTCCGACATCCAAACTATAGGCGTTCCGAATTGCCTTAGCGTCAACGCGTTTGAAATTTGAGAAGCTGAGAGTGCGTCCGTCCACGTCAGCAATACCCACATCGGAGGAGGAGGTACATCGAGCCCCAACAACAACGTTCAACTTTCTGTTTGAGTCAATCAAGGTGTTATATCGGTCTGCAATTTCGGGGATGGACTTGTCAATCCCCATATCCATGATATCAAAGACACTTTGACCAAATAGGTCCGTGCCACCAGCATCGGGATGAGCGGGGTGTGGGGGATCTAGATTCTGATAGAGGACATATTCAAAGACGAAATCTCTATCGAGGCCGGGAGCACGATATTCTTGGCCATATTTGGAGTCGTATCGTAACTTTTCTGCGTTAGTCATGGCTATTTCTGAAACAGCCGCGTAGTTATCGATTCTTCCAGCTCGATGATCCCGAAGATACACCAGTCCCTCAGCTATGGTACGGTTAATCGGGCGCACGGAATCGCTGAGGGAATAGGAGTTATTTTCGAAGGAGGCTTTAGGTAGAGTGTTGTTCCCATGTTCGTGGAAACGGTTCAATATAGTGAGTTCGGAAATTTTAGACACTGAACTACAATTATATCGAATCACTAGCCCCCAGGTTGTCCCTGAGACTGGAACAGGGGCTTGGGGAGTGAGGAATATTTCGGGAATACCGGAATCTGGAGGAAATGTGTTGGGAATTTCCTTGAGGAAGTCATAATCCGAACGCTTCAGCTCTGGTCGGGTGTACATTATGCCAAAACCAGGCAACCGGGCGGGCATGGCCATTGACCAGCCTGTAAATGCCCTATTTTGGACTGCCATCGTTTCTCTGGAATCGAAGTTTTCCACGTTCCGGCCAAGCACCTCGGCTTTTTTAGAAGTCATGCCAGTAGTCTGGATATAGCCATCCCCAACTTCCATACAGAGGCCAGAAATTGGAAGAGCTATAAGGGGGAGAGCACTCAGAACAAGAAGGATATACCAGAGTATGGATGGAAAGTGGCCCCCACCGTCTTGCTTAGATGCCGTGCGTCTTCTGCTGAGGAACATAACCTTTTGGGTGATCTTCCACCAACCGGTGGGACCGCTCCAGGTCCGGTCCGCATGCATCATAAGCTGGAGTCCATCCTTGGGTCCGATTGATGGAGTATACATCAACATTCCTGCCTCGACACCCACGAGGCCATACTTTGCTGCGTTCAGCCCAAAGATACCTAAGCAACACGTATCAAGAAACATTCTCTAAATGTAAGATACTTATAATGTGAATAGACAAAAACTCATACCGATGATGAACCAACTCCAATAAGCAAAGTTCGCCCCAGCTCGGCCAATTTTCAAAGGATTTATGCCTTCATTTTGGGATTCAAGGAAATATTTAACCAAAAAGATAAAATACCCGGTAACTGCAGGGGGCACTACGACGCCGATTAATGTTCGGAGCCAGAAGCGACGAAGCTTGTAGCCAAACGGCTGATCCTTGGGTTGGGGCACATCGTCGGGAGGTGGCTTCATGGAAGAAACTGATGAAGCATTGTCCAACTCTTCTGAAGGCACAATTGGGGTTGGTAAAAGCTGTCGGGCGACGCTGCTCTCATGCTTTTTCTCAGTGGCTTTGAAAGTTAAGGAAAGGTGCTGGATGAATGCTCACCTGTTGTCATTTGGGTCGGTATCTTGTACCAGATCATAACTAACTGCTGCCATGATGCGATTGAACTGGCACGCGACCACTTCCTTGCGACCTCAAGAATCAATCAGTGCGGTCTCCTGCCAAGTTGTGTTTACTAGTGCTCGGTTTCGGAGGTTTAACAAGGCGGGTTCTGACCACCACTTCGGCGTCAGTCATTCATAAAAGCGCTGTGAGTTTGCTCGAACATGGGAGGAACATCAGGGGCCTTTTAAAGTCTTTCATGAAGGCCCAAACTCTTTAAGAAGCCAGAAGTGGTTACGTTCGCTCCGATCGATCTCATGGAACTGACCACCCTTGACTTGCAAGGTTCATCCCAAGCATCCCACCTCTCTGCAAGATTGCGCAGCATCCATGATGCTAAATAAGAGTGTTGAAACCAAAATAAGGTACGGAGTTCGGAGTAGAGGCTACGTCCCTTAGACAAGGCCTATCATCTAAGATCGTTCGACGCAAGTCATTGACAGGGAACCGGTTCGCCCAGGCCCGAAGAATTAACGCTCGTCAGACACGGAGGAATCTAACCCAATGATGCTGGGGCCAAACAACTGTGTTTTATTTAGAACAGAGTGCATATCAATGAACGTGCTAGTCAAGTTAGATGCAGATTTTGAATCATTGGCGTGAAGAACCAACTGGTTGGCTGTGAAGTAGTGCTGAGATGCTCCGTGCTGCCACGACATTTACGAGTTAATGAGAAGGCTTCCAAAGTATTGACGATGGTTGATGAAGATACTGTAGATATTATTATATCTCATCTGGAGAAAGATACGAAGTAGTTAACTGTCTTGTTTTGATGTTATCATGACGGTGTAAATTTTGAGGATGACATTGGGTGGACAAGACGAGGTACCTTGCTAGGAGGTAGATTATCTGCATTTTAGCATATCAAAGTACTTGGTTCCGAAGTACCAGGATAGCTCCACCTATCCGCCACTTCAAACATGAGCCTTTTCTAGTTTTTGCAACCTCAAGTTTCAACAGATAGCAGTGGTTGCAACGACTTCGACACACATGCCATCGAGGAGGGGCGAGGAGAAGAGCTATTAGCATGATTACTGCGGTTTCACAAGCTTTCTATTCTTGAATGCTGATGTTATTTTGGCATTCTATATTATCTGCGTAGCCCGCGGTGAGCATTGAGATCTGCTCAGTATGCTACCATTTATCAATACTCGTATGTTTCCTTCATCAGACGTTCTCGTGATATCCAATACTAACACAAACGATTACGTAGCTTTTGTGCCGGTAGCGGACGCAACAGGAGCATCCATTGACGAACGTACGTCCACCTTCAAGAGAGTTGTACGGACCGTCCATTGAACTTTTCATCTCAGCCGCTAATATCACATCTCGAATAGTAAAGTTGATTACATCGCTCCTCCTTTCATACCCTCTTGCCGGCATCTTGAAAAGGATTCCGGACTCGAAGCCATGGCAGAAAAATTTGTTTATCGTTAGCGTTTCATTATTTTACCTGGTGGGCTTATTCGACCTCTGGGATGGAGTGCGGACCATACTTTATAGCTCTGCAGGGGCATATGCTATAGCTTATTATATCGACGGATCACTAATGCCGTGGCTCGCGTTCGCGTTTCTAATGGGCCATATGTCTATTAATCACATATCCAGACAACTCGCCAACAGCCCGTCTACTATCGATATCACGGGAGCTCAGATGGTGTTGGTGATGAAATTGACTGTCTTTTGTTGGAACGTACATGACGGTCGATTACCGCAGGAGAAGCTGTCAGAATCTCAGAAATACGCAGCTATCGCCAAGCTCCCTAGCCTGCTTAATTTTGCGGGCTATGCACTCTTTTTCCCGTCTCTCTTTGCCGGGCCGGCTTTCGACTATGTGGAATATCGAAAATGGATCGAGACCACCATGTTTGATGCGCCACCTGGTGTAGACCCAGCGAAGAAGCCCCCGACTCGTAAGAAGCGAAAGATCCCGAGAAGCGGTAGGCCTGCTATGCTGAAAGCGGTGATGGGTTTGTTCTGGATATTCGGCTTTCTGCAATTTGGAAGTGTGTATACCGTCGACTTTCTCCTGAGCGACAATTACTTGAAATACGGACTGCTGAGGCGAATATGGATACTCCACATGTTTGGATTTACTGCGCGTCTCAAGTATTACGGAGTATGGTCCTTAACTGAGGGGGCCTGCATCTTATCAGGAATGGGATATAATGGCTTCGATGTAAATACAGGTAAGGTGTCTTGGAATCGATTAGAAAACGTGAATCCAAAAGGACTGGAAACGGCACAGAACCCACACGATTATCTCAGTAACTGGAATAAAAACACCAACCACTGGTTGAAAAACTATGTGTACTTGAGGGTGACCCCAAGGGGCAAAAAGCCAGGATTCAGAGCGAGTCTCGCCACGTTTATAACAAGTGCATTTTGGCATGGTTTCCACCCTGGATATTACTTGACCTTCATACTAGGTGCATTCATTCAAACAACTGCAAAAAGTACGTCACACTTTCTTAGCTCATTATCCACTTTTATTAAAACTAACATAGAACAATCTCAGACTACCGTCGCTACGTTCGGCCCTTTTTCTATATTCCAGACGGGTCCTCCCCAACCCCCTACAAACGCATCTACGATATCCTGAGCTGGCTAACAACCCAACTATCTCTCTCATTTATCGTCGTTCCCTTCGTAATTCTTCACTTCAAAGACAGCATTCACGTCTGGTCAAGTGTCTACTACTACGGTATTGTCGGCATAGTCCTCTCCCAGGTTTTCTTCTCCAGTCCCGCAAAGGGTTACCTGGTTAAACAACTAAAAGCCCGTGGTGGCCCCGCTACAAAGCCGGCCCTTGCTTCTCGAGATAATAACGAGTCGCCTGTGCTTGGACTACCATCCAACCCGGGCCAGGATATCGATGATGCCATGAAAGAAATCAAGCTCGAGATCGAGGCACGGAGGAGGAAAGGAAGTGTCGTGACTATGCCATCGGGGCAAGAGCTGAAAGCCTTGCTGGAGGAGAAGCTTGGGAGGAAATTATAAGGTGCATATTACATTCTATTGTAGATCCACCTGAATAATTTTGTCTCCCTTTTCTACCCCTTACCCGCTGCGGCGCCCATCGATTTTATCTATTGTTCCGGATTTATTCTTTGGTTTCCACATCTGCGCATTTTCTCTCCATTTTCCCCCATATTTTTGGCTCTATGTCTTCTACATCAGGCAACCTGCGCGATTTCAATCATTTTGTTTTACCCAGCCTTCATGAATCTTTGTTTCTCTTCATAGTTACGGCTATACCTACTCTTCCCTTCCTCCCCGTTGCATCTAGTGTTTTACCTTAAGGTCCATCCAGAACCTTACGTCTTCACATAGCATCTACGGACAACTCAAAGGCAAATATTTACAAACATTGCAGTCAATTTGGGATCACATGATTACATATTGACGATATAAATGAGCACTCCTCTCTTGTAACTGGAATGCTAAATATCGCATGTGGTTCCAAGAATAGAAAAGGGACAACAGAAATTTTGTGATATCCAGACTATCCAGGCTGCAAAATTGGCTCCTAGGGAACTCCCAACCACTTCCAAGAGGGGAACTTTAAGGTGCTATGCTATGCCAACTGTTGCTAACCCCGGTCTGAATCTTGTGGATGTGTTTCTGGTTTAGAATTATTGAGAAACTTGAATCGACTCAGGTTGAGACGAACATTTCCACATCCAATATTATTTATCAAAGAGTCTGGATGTAAAACCGACTACAAAGAAAGAGTGAAAATAGAAGTCCATGTAAGTCTGCCTACTCTACATTCCAAATCCCCTTACAACATTCCAGAACCGTTCTCCCAAACATGACAATGGCCAAAACCCCAAGTATTCCTTGAACTTATCCATTAGATCGGGTTACGGACGGCGCCAAACAACGAATTGTAGAAAATGACACCCAGATAGATGATATCTTCCCGTGGGTGTGAAGGTTGGCCTTACAATGGTTTTCGTGTTGTAGCAAGGCCCTGGGACTTCAGGGTTCCATTGGTTTAGCCAGATGCCGAAAACGATGGCAAATGTGAGATACAATGTGTCGAATAGGGCGATGGATAGATATCGTGATATTCTTTGACTTCAGACGTTGGGGGAAGCTGAGAAGGCGTCAAGATCCCCGCGCAGTTGGAGACGGTGAGATTTGGGATTTAGAAATTTGGTCCGACTATATGTATGTAGCACGATCCCCATGCAACCTTGAAGACGTGAGCGTAACTAACCCAGTAAAATTCGCTGTTATAGATGATATGGAAACGGTAGAAATCGAGAGACTTGGAGACAATCAGACCAGATATCGGAAGTGCAATTCCTGGGCCAAATCAGCATCGTACAAAATTTTCTTTTGCACAATGATCAGTAGCAAGCTCAGAAATCGCCATTGAATATCTGCGCATCGCTACTGTAAAGAGTGTTCCCGTTCACAATCTCCAGTTTCTTTGAAGGGCGTTCAACTTGCTCCCACAATCTAGGTAATCGAAAAGGCGCACGCTGTCGGGGATGCCGCCAGAAACCACCACGCATCAACGCATGTAATGCTAATTTAAGCAAAAGCGTACACAGACGACTAGGTTATCGGTCGGAAGATTGGGAGACCCGGAAGCAGCGCCTCCAATCTTCTTGTTGATAAGAAGGATGACCAAAACGATGGAAGAAGGGATATCAGAGCCTGGACGATAAACGCAGCCAGAGGCTGCTGTCCATAACTTGTTTAGCAAGAGACCTAGCTAGATACTCTTCGCCATTTATATGATATAACTAGACCCGGGCATTCTTTTAAGATAAACTCATGGCCAACATGGAAAACACCACTCACAGCAATGCCCCCGATATCAGGATTTGCAGACCCAACACTTTTGCACAGTGGTGTGGAAGCCATCAACGAAATCTGCCAGAGAGAACAGCTTCCAAAGCTGTTGCGCCAATGGACCCATCAATCAATGCGCAGGGCACACTGTTGAATGTATATGCCCGGCAACGCGTGTCAGAGGGATAGTGGTGCCCGTAATCCACGTTTGCAGTCCCATTTTCAATTCTTTCTATTCTCATCCAGCGATTCGTGGAGAGCGCCCAGCCTTGCACCAACCTCGCATTTTGCTGAGCACACAAAACTGCCGGGTACCTATATATGATAGCCCTTCATCTTGACTTGTATCCTTTTGCTTTTTCCTTTTTCCTTATTAAAGCTATGAATGCTTGATCCTTCCTTTGGATGTAACTGGCGAATATCTTATTAAATCAACAGCAATTTGTCAGTGGAACTGCAGGATTCGTAATATCTCTCACGCTGCCACATTCTATAATATACGAAATAGCCTTACAGCTTCCCTTCTTCTCTCCCTCCTCAACAACACCAGTTTCATTTCACTGTTGATCCAATTTTCGAAAAATCATCCTGAATGTCAGAGTGACCAAATAGCAATAACAAAAGTGAAGAGTGACCCATGTTCCGTGGAATCCGTTGGTTTGTCGGATGTAGATTGATATAAGCGAATTCTCTGAAGTAATACATGATTAGCCATGTAGATGTTTAAATCCCCCGACAGCCATTTCAATCTACACTATTTCACAGAAGACCAAAGGGAAATCTATCGGGTCACTATGATTCGTTTGTATTCATTTGCCACCTATGGCCTCTCAAGTATTCCATCCCTCAACGGAACAATAAATAGCATAGTCCGCAAGTATACAGTACAGTCAATAGCCAGATGATAATCGGCAATACTGCATGCAACGCAACGTACAACTTAACCAGAGAAAGAAAGTAGATTATATATATAAACGAGAGGGAATTTTCCCCAACGTCCCCTCGAAACCCAAACATAAATACGAACGAAAATAGGTACATAACATAATACAGTGAAATACATTACAGTTCAGTGCGTTTGTATATACAACAGTATATTACGTATGTATGCCCAAACAGCGGTGCGGAGAAGCTAAAATGAAACAAAATATTGAAATCAACCCCAAAGAATGACCTCAAAAGGCAGAAACAAAGAACAAACTGAAGAGGTAATCGTAATTGAGGATATTCAGATTAGTGCTTTTTCCTTCCAGTACCGCACGCGTGTGTGGTGCGTGAAGATGGGGAGATAAGTCCCTGGCGTGGGAGAAGAAAGAATAGCAGTGTAGAGCGCGCTGGGTTGGAATGAAGGTGGTTGATGGAGGTGTCAAGTCGCCTGGATAGATGGATGGGTGGATTGCATGCATGCATGGAAGCACAAGAAATACAGAATACGATGTGAAATATTTGGAAGATTCGAAAGAAGGGCATATTAGGTTCGCCAGGTAACCCCCGGGGGGAAGGGAGGGGGGGCGTGTGTTTATTTGTAGTTGACTTGCGGAGCTATCTTTGGGAACGAAAATGGCCCAAAATCGAAAGGAACGAAACGGGGGATATAGAAATAAATAAATAATAATAATAATAAAGACTGTGTGAGAGAGAACCCCAGTTGGCACCAACACTAGTTTGATCGAATGGTAAAACGGTGAGAATGCAAAAGCAATGTTGGACTGTGCTTTGCTACGTGGTGGGCTTCGGAAAGACTCGAGAATAGTTGAAGGGAAAGGATGAAAAAGCGCCGTGCTCCGAGGGTATCGACTCTACATTATTTTATTCACGGGTTCGGTTTTGGAAAAATGCTTCATATCGGCGTAAAAATTCGTGGGCGTGCAAGATTAGAAAAGCTAGCGGCGGGAGAGAGTTTTCATCGTCTTTCCACGAGCAGAACTGCCAGCGCCACCTGAAACGTTGTAAAGAATTAGTATTGGGTTCTCTTTCGTTAACAACGAAAGCTGGACGAGATATATATGATGAAAGCACCTACCACTATAGCAATAACTGCCAGCCCAATTGGGAACATGAAGCGATTAACCCTCCGCCACCATCTCGCGTTCTCATGCCGCGTCTGGTCCACCAGAACAACGCGATTGCGGAACGCATGTTCCAGATCTGGCCGGCTAGTGGTTGCCTCCTCACTTACTTCGCTAACCTGGGGAGGGAGAGGTAGGAAGGAGGCAATGATCCAGGCCAATGGGAACACGAAACCCAGCGCAAAAGCATAAACCTGTATGTTGCGTCGGCTTATAAATCCCTCCGCCTTCTCATTAAACGAAGGCGGCTTCCACATGCTCCTCCGCACATTATTGGCGCGTTTGTCCGTATACAAATGGGGTGACCATGCACCCGGCAAGTTCTCCATAGGTTGTGGGTGTTTGAATTGCTCGGGATCGGGCACCCAGTGGACTCTCGGGTCAGTGGGATCGACGGGCTCAATAGCATCAACGGGGTCATCGGGATCATCGGGATCCTCGGGCGGGGTAGGGTTACCCGGTCGTGGTGGATAACTGATTTCACGGGGTCGGACTCTTGGGTTACTTATGCCCAGCGGCGTCCGGCTGACCATTGGCGGGTTGCTGTTATATGCCGCAGATTTGGCAGAGATGGCTGATGAGGGCGGAGATTGGGGTGTTGATGGTCGGCTTTCGAATGTGAAAAGAGAAGCAAACTGGGGTCCAAGTCCACCACTCCGATAGTATACTCTGGCCCAGGTAGGGATCGTGTGGAGGATCGAACTGTTGCTTGGCGAGCGAAGGAAGTTTCTTGGGTTGCTTAACGCTGATAACGACGACGAATGGCTTAATGTTCCAGAGGTTTTTTGTCGAAGGGGTAGGGATCGAAGATGCGTTAAGTTATCGCTGTGTTCCTCGGCTTCTGATTTATCAAGAGACCTAACCGACGGTCTTGAAGAGTCGTGTCGTTTAGCCTCAGATGAACCTCTTGTCCCACTACCGTCCGTGCGATCATCGCGGGGTGATGGAGAGGAAAGGCTTTGTAATCTCTCTGCTGACCACTCTGAGGGAATGGTCGACAAATGCGGGTTCAAGCCTCCAGAAAAGCGCTCAATCATGGACCGCACGAGAGAAGTTTCGGCCCGCGAACTTGTTTGTGGGTAACGAATGATAGGGTACTGGACGGGAGCTCTACTACCCACGGACGACTGACCATCTGGAATGGATCGACTACTGCCAGACGAAGCGGAAGACGTTGTGTTGAGCCGGAAACTTGTTGGGCGGGGAAGATTAAATGATGTAGTGGACTGGTAGGATCTCAATGCCGCATTTGGTGGACTTGAAGGAATGGAAGGGGATGGAGTTACACTTTGCAGCTCGGATGAAGAAGCATCTGTCAAGGTACTGTTCCGCTGACCGGCGCGGATATATCTTCTGACAGTTCCAACAGAGTTGACTTCGAAGAGCGAGGATTCAGTCGGGGAGGATCTTCGAAGAGGAATGAAGTTGGGCGACGAAGGTTCAATAGGCCGAAAGGTTGGACTGGAAGTTAGACCAGTGGGGATAAGGTTGGGACTTAACCTTCCATCAGCAGGCACAGTTTCGGCATAGGTCGAATCAGTTGGAGAAGCGGTGGCAGGCGACGATAGGTTTTGGGTAACCACTTTGATTGTGGGCGGAAGTTGGACACCATCGCCGTCAGATGAATTGTCATCATTCCGTTCCTCTTCGTTCTGCCGCCCACTGTCTAAATTATATGAAGAACTCGAGCGTGGTATGGAAGTTTTGCTTGAGTCTAGGGAATCATCCCATGTATGATTAGAGGAGATTGTCCCATGGGGGGTGGTGGTGGTGGTGGTGGAGGCCTGGCCCGAAGCGTCCCTTAGACCATGGTCTGATAGGTTCTGGTCGCGTCTGACAC